AGAGGAATTGTGATTATAGCCTCGAAAGGGTAAAATTTGACCTAATTTCCCGTGAATGTAAAATTGATATAGAATTGTGATAGATTGATGTGTGATCCACTTATGGTGGAGGTGTTTACTTTCTTTGTACATTGTGATTATGTCCATGAAGGAATATGGTGTGGGAGTAATGAATTATCATGAGATTGTATTGAGGAACGTGATGTAAGGCATGCGTGTGAAATAAAGGACAAAATGATCAACTAATTAGAATGTGAATGCATTGTGATTGAAAGTATATTCTTACTAAATACTATTGAATTGGTAAGCGTATGCATCTTATTCTTGTATAAATATATGCAAAGTTATATGTGTCTTGAAATAGTAGGCTAGTGCATCCTCTTCTAGACTGGAATGTATTTTGATTTATACGTCTAAATGAATGATTAATGAATGTCTAGTATCGAATAGATCTAGATATGTGCCCTTTCAGTAAATGAATAAATGATTTCTAGACTATGTATTGGACAGGCAGACCTAAGCTTTGTGCCCCTCTATGATGAGTCTAGAACCCTATGTGAATGATGAACTTTTTATCGGTAGGCCAAATATGTAAGGCAACCTTCTTGGAAAATCAATGAGCTATCCTTAATGAACCTCGATCGGTAGACCTATTAGTTGTAACCCTTCTTGGTAGAAGTACTATGAGTTGGTAGACCAAATGTTGGTGCTTTATTTTTTTCACAAATGTGAATGAAACTAATCTATGGGAAATAGGGTAAGCACCGAGTGGATATGGTTAAAATGGTGTCTCTATTAGAGTGAGAGGCTACAGAACAATGTACATCTTTGGATATCCTCCAAACAAACATGTGACGTATACTAGTTCAACGCTTTCAAAGTAGAAAAACTCTTTAGGGTGTGTAAGGATAGAACACCGGACTCCATGTCTAGCGTGCAATGACCCTGTTGGTTAATTCCTATTCTCATCATTTGGGATGTGCACTCTAGTTACTTGATAGGTACTACAACGTGCAGGCAGTAATATGAGATGTTATCTACACATGGCACGAGTATGATTTAAAGGTGCTAGAATGAGTTCCCTTAGTCTTCATGACTAATGTGAAGGTCCTCTAAATGAAGTTAATAATGAATGGTCGATTTATTGTCTCTACAATGTGATGTATGTTTCTCATATATTGATGAAATGAGTTACTTAGCATGTTATGTTGAAAAATAAAGGTTCTTGTATGAATGTAGCCTTGAGGTAAACTTATGTGTGAAATGAAGATGTAGTATAGACTGCCACTTTATGACTTACGTAAGGGTGGCTTAGGGTAACTTTAGATAGAAGTCTGAATATGATGAAATGATCTACTAATGTATGTGCCCTTGTATTTCATGTTTGTACTAGTTGAAGTATAACTACTTAAGTTTAAAAGGGTAAAGGTAATGACTTAAATGAGATATTGTTAGTTGCGTGTTGGTTGTGACTTATGCTATGCCTTTATTGTTCATGTGTTCATGAAGCTTTACAAAATGACATTAAAGCATGACTTTAGGCAAAATCTCCCTCGTTAGCATATTTTTACATGGTCATCATACTTAGGGATTAATTGTGATAATACCATCTTCTTTATATTTTTAGTACAATGTGTAAGTTGAAAGTGCTAGGTGTATTCTGTAGTTAAAGACTTGGATCTCCATTCTCCAATACATGGTACATCCTCATGGATTCGAGGGAAAATAAATTCTTATGTTTGCTTTTTATGTAATAGATACTTAGTAGTTTATTTCGATTGTAAAGGTTTGTGTCCTTATGAAATTGATTTGATGTCTAAGATTGCTATGTTGAGACTTAGTATTTCTTTGCTTTATAAACGAGTTTTCTATTTTTCACTTTACTGAGGAATGTTTTTATTTCGCACTATTTTTATTGCCTCTGTGATGAATGAATGCTAAGAGGCTTGTATGAAATACCTTCATTGTCAAGTACGCCTTGTTACGACTCGCGGGTACTCTCGTGTCGTTACAAGGTGAGGCACTGTTCTCTTGGCTAGTGGTAGTCTTAGCCTTTGGACTTGGTTTGATCCCCTTCACCTGGCACTTTCCTCGTGGATTAGCCTCACTTTAACCCCATATCATTTGTAAATGACTTATTACTATTTGGGGAGTCATTTTTACGATATTTAGTCATACACTTAGGCTCTAGTTTAAACTATCACTTTTCTTGGATGTTATAGATACTTCCAATCATGGCATCTTTTGCTTCCCAAGTATGTCTATATATGGAGTGACTTTTCCACAAAACCTTTACAAAAGCGACTTGCTTAATTTTAAACCTATTAATAGATGTCCAATAATTTCAACTAGAACCTCTTCATAGGTGAGGCTATATTTCACAACAACACTCTCTAAAGGTATTATCAAAGCCATATCACCCACACTGTCCAAATGTATTATCAAAGCTGGATTACCCACAAAGTCCTTCAATAAGGGAATGTGAAAGAGTGGGTAGACAACTGCTAATCTTGCTACTAGCTATAACTCATAAGCA